CGGCGTCGTCGTCGTCGTCGTCGTCAACGTCGCCGCCGTCGGCGGCGCCGCCGCCGTTGTCGTCGTCGTCGTCGTCGTCGTCGTCGTCGGTCGTCGTCGTCGACCTCGTCGTCGTCGTCGTCGTCGCCACCGCCGTCGTCGGCGCCGCCGGCCTCGTCGTCGTCGTCGTCGTCGTCGTCGCCGCCGCCGCTGTCGTCGTCGTCGTCATCGTCGTCGTCGTCGTTGTTGTTGTCGTCGCCGTAGTCGTCGTCGTCGTCTTCGTCGGCGACGTCGCTGCCGTCGTCGCCACCATCGTCGGCGCCACCAACATCCTCGTCGTCGCCTCCGCCGCCGCCGCCGCCGTCGCCGCCGCCGCCGTCGTCGTCGTCGCCGCCGCCGCCGCCGTCGCCGCCGCCGCCGCCGCCGCCGCCGCCGCCGCCGCCGCCGCCGTCGTCGTCGTCGTCGTCGTCGTCGTCGTCGTCGTCGTCGTCGTCGTCGTCGTCGTCGTCGTCGTCGTCGTCGTCGTCATCGCCGTCGTCGTTGTCGTCGTCGTCGGCGGTGTCGGTCGGCGGTCGTCGTCTGCTGCGGGGCGCCCCGGACCTCCGCGACTCGCCGCCGCCCGGGGTGGCCGCCGTAGGCGTCGCGCCCGCCCGCATGCTGCCTATCTTGTCCCAGGGGTCGTCCTGTGGCGTCCAAGGGTTTTGGGCTTATCTGGGAGGGGGGCGAGGGAGGGAGGTGACGGCCGGTAGCCTGACCTTTTCGCTCTGGGCTGCCCCACGTATGCCCGCGCGCACCTGTTCTGCGCACCCGCTTCGGACCTGGGCAACAAACGAGGTCAAGTTATCTGGGGGTGGGGTGCGGGTCCGATAGCCCGGATAACTTATCGGCGGGCCCTAAAAGTGTCTCTTTGCCAATGGAAGTTGTAAACTCGTTCTTTTGTTTCATTGTTTGTTTGATTGTCTGTTTACGGTCGGAAGCTTTCGCTTGGCATGTCGCGGCGGCGGCCCTGTCGACACGCTATGCCCTGCGAGCGGGTAGCGTGTCGCTCCGCTCCTTGGGGCAGGAGGCTCGAAAAAAAAAACTCGGGGCCTTGACGCTGGGGGACCGGGAAGTGGACAGCGCGTCGCGCCGAAGCGCGGTGGGCCAGAACCGGCGGAGCGACACGCCAAGCCAACGTCCCTGACCGTATGTCCTATCTGTGTGTGTGTTTGTTTTTGTGTTTGTGCTCGCTCTGTTGTGGCCTCCACAGGGCAACCTCTTGGAGACGGGGGGCGAACGATCGACACCTCACGAGCGTACGAGCGTGCCCGATGGGGCGAGGACCGGGGCCCGAGGATGGGTGGCTCCCGCTCTCCGGGGCGTCCCTGTCCACAGTTCGGGTCTCTGCCCGAGGGACGCGCGCGCAAAACGTGGGTGCGGCGGCAGCGAGTTTGGGCTCGAGGCTCGAGGAGTACTGCAGGTCCTTCCTGGGCGCCTCTGGCGGGCCTCCAGGGACGGGGGCCTCTTCCTGGAGGACTCTGGGGCGGCCGCTGCGGGAGAGGCCCCGGGGCTCGGGGCGCTCCCGGTGGCGCCGTCCCTATGGGGCCCTCCGCCGAGGCCTCTCGGGGGCGCCTCGCGGCCACGGCCGGATGTCCGCCCAGAAGCTCTCGGTCAAAGCGCGCTCGGGGGAGCGGGTCTTCGCATCCTCCTCCTCCTCCTTCTCCTCCTCCTCCTCCTGTTCCTCCTCCTGTTCCTCCTCCTCCTCCTCCTCCTCCTGTCCCTTCCTCCTGTTCACTCCTCTTACTCCTGTTCCGTCCTCCTCATCCTCCTCCTCATCCTCTGTATCCGCGTCCTCCTCCTCCTCCTCCCCCTCCTCCTCCGCCTACTCGCGGCGGAAGAACACCCCTGACCTCTTCTCGTTGTGGATCAGTCAAGTCGACGGAGCACCTTGGTAATTTGCGGTCTCTGGGGGCCCTCAATGGGCACCAAGACGATCGAAAGCGACCCAGAGCGAAAAGCTGGTCCCGAGAAAGGGTCTAGGCCGCTGGGGGTCCACGCTACTAGCACGTTGGAGGACCAGGCTCTCCTCCTCTCGACTGATACAGCGCCCCTGACCCCAAATGTGTCCTGACGCCCCTGACCCTGACTCCGGCCCTGCCCCCGGCTGGGGGGTTGCTGAAGGTGCCCCTGCCCCGAAGTGGCCCAAGGTCGTGGTGGCTTCCTTGGAAATCCTGGGGGCACCTTGGGCCAGGGGCACTTCGAGCAACACCCGGCCGGACAGGTTGGGTCGGCCGGAGACTGGAACGAAGGGAAGGCGCCGGGGTTGAATCACTTAGTGGGGTGCGATAAGTGGGAGGGAAGAAGGGCGCACCTTTCGGGCCCTAGAGGCCTCCTTTTGGGCCGCGAAAGGCGCCTCGGGGGCCCCAGGGGACCCTTTGTCTGCAGCCCCCGCTGCCCCCCCCCATCGCCCGAATCCCGCGGCCCGCCCGAAGTCCAGGTCTCCCCGCGGTCCGATCGAGGCTTCCCCTCCGGCGCCAGCTTGTGTTTGCGACACGGGCCTCTGGGGCTCTCCACGGGGGACCGGCTCGCAGGGGGGCAAACGTCAGGCTGGAATCGGCGCTATACGTCGCCGACTGGTCGGCCGTGGCCCCCCGATAGCGAGCCCACACGTCGGGGTGAGCTCTCGGACTCCTGTCGGTGAGGACTGGGAGATCGGTGGGCGATGCTTACCCCCTTGATTGAGGGATGAAAAAAAACGACCCTACCCTGGGTTACAAGTGCGTGGTCCGAAAAAACCTCCTGGGACCCCCCCAAGCCTAGAGCCGCCAGGACGCGGCACACCGCGCAGGGTTTACCCTGTCGGCCCACAGGAGCTTCAGCGCACAGCGCCTCGTGAACCAGGGCAGGGGCGTTTTTTTATGCCCTTGCCTTTCGCCTGCCCACCCCTGACGTCGCCGGGGCCCTCGCCCCGCTGCCACGAGGGGCCGGCCTGCTCGCTCCGAGATTGCCCTCTGAGGCCCCCCCCCCGAGGCCGCCGCGAGCCTCTGGGGGGCCCCCAGGCAGCAGAGAGGCAGCCAGGCTGGCCGCTGCGACCCTCCTTCGTGACGCTGGGTGCGACCCAGACACGCGGCGTCCTGACTCTTTCAGGGCGGCGCCCCTGGAAGGCCGGACCCCTTCCCCGGGACCCGTTTTTCGTCCCGAGTCGCTCTTTGACGGCCCCGAGGCCCCCCGGGGCCGAAAACGCGGCGAAAAGCCTCCCGTCCTGCTTTCTTTACGACGCGATCCTGTCTGGGGAGGCCTCGCTCGAAGAGCCTCAGTAGGCCCCCGGGGGCCCCCCTGGAGCCGCGAGCAAAAGCACACCGGTCGGCGGTCCGCCTCTCTCCTGGCCTTTGGGCAGGCGGCCCGAGGCGAGTCCACCCCCTCCTCCTCCTCCTCCTCCTCCTCCTCCTCCTCCTCCTCCTGCTCGTCCTCCTCCTCCTCCTCCTGCTCCTCCTCCTCCTCCTCCTTCTCCTCCTCCTCCTCCTCCTGCTCCTCCTGCTCCTCCTCCTCCCCCTCCTCGCCCTCGGGACTGCGGCGAGAGGCCCTGGCGCCAGATGCCCAGGGGAAGCCGCCTGCCGCCCGCTGCGCGAGCACGTCCCCCGGCGACGACGACGACGACGACGACGACGACGACGACGACGACGACGACGACGACGACGACGACGACGACAACGACGACGACCCCCGAGGCTCCAGGCCACCGAACGTTGCGCGCCGCGCCCCGCGCTGCGCGGCCCTCTTCGCGCCCTCCGCGGGGCCGCCCCAGAGCAGGGGCAACTCTCGGGCCCCGGGCCGCGGCACGCGAGGCGCGGCTGTGCCCGAGCCGCTGTTCGACGGCCGGGGGGGCCGATACAGTGGAGACCTTAGTGGGCCCTGGAAACGACAGGGCCGTTTTTTAACCGCGTTCTTACACCGAAACTCAAGGGACCTCCTGGGGTCTCAGGGTTTGGGTTTCTGGTGGAGTGGCCTCCGCCTCCATCTTTTCAAGACGTCGGAGATCTGGGAGGGCGACCCCTCTCTCGGGGGGCCGAGACTGGGACTGGACTCGGCCAGACCCCCCCCCCCTTTTTGCCCCGCAGATGGCATCTGTGCACCACCGTCGTGCCCTGCCAGGAGCATCCTGGGACCCCAAATTGTCGGTGGGAATAAGGGAAGGAAGGAAAGCGTTGGAAATAATTCGGAAAGTAATTGGAAGCGTAGGAAAGCGTTGGAAGTAAAACGTTGGAAGTAGGAGAGAAACATGAAGTAGGAACGTAGGAAACATGAAGTAGGAAAGCGTTAGAAGCATGAAGTAGGAAAGCGTTGGAAGTAAATTGGGCTCCCGCCCGCCCCCCTGAAGAGGAGGGAAGAGGGAACGCCGTGAGACTCTTGAAATAGGCAGGCGCCCAAAGTAGACTGGGACCTGCCAGAAATACCCACTTCCAACGACCGGCGTGTCAAGGCACTCTGGCTCGGTCGGCCGCTCCGGCCCGCTCGACGCGGAACTCTTCCACGCCTGAGCGCTTTCCCCTCCCCCTCCCCCCGCGCGGGGCCGCTCTCGTCTTTCTCCGTCCCCCCCCCTTTGCACGCTGGCCAATTCGCCTTTCGGTTGCCCCGAAAAGCCACACGCTGGAGCGGACTGCCTCTGCCTCACCGCCGACGAAAAAGTAAAGACACTCTGGTCTCGGCCAGGAGGGCGTACACACCCCGCCAGGGCCCAGGATGTCCCCAGCCGGGCGCGGTGACGGTGTGCAGATGCCACCCGCGTGCCCCCTCTCCTTCTGGGACTGGGACGCTCTCTTGCCAGCCGTCGGCGTCTGCCCATCGGCGTCCGACCGGCGCTTCCCGATCATGGCCCACTCAGCCTCGAGCGGGACGGGGAGAAGAAAGGAGAGGAAGGGAAAACCAGGGGGCGTCTTCTGGCCATCGCTCAGACGTCCATTCCCTGTGTTTTTTTTCGGTTTCGTGCGTGTTTTTTTCGCCAAGTGATCAAGAATGTTCCTCGATGGTCCTCGCCGAGGAAAAAACGCACACGTCCGAGCGATGCCAAGTTTTGGGGGGGGAGGGATCTTCTCATAACGTTCGTGGCACGTTCAAAACTTTCAGAAGCCTCTGGGCACCCCCGCAGACCCCCGAGGAGGAGGTGGAGGAGGATGAAGACCTGGAGGGTCAGGAGGGAGAGGAGGGAGGGGGGAGGAAGGGGATGGGGAAAACGAGGGACTGAGATGGGGAAAAGAAGCAAGTGTAGGGGAAGGACGAGGAGAGAGGGAGTGGAAGGGGGGCACGGGCTGAGGAGGACGACGACGAGGAGGGGGAGGAGGCACAACAGTCGGAGGGGGAGGAGGACACCGACTCCCGAGCATCGCCAAGCCGGCCTGCTCCTTCGCCGAGGTCTTCGTGCCCACGGACTCAAGCGTCTGCCTGCAGAGCAGTCTTCGCATGCGAAGAGCTGGCAACGCATGTCGAGGAGGAAGATTCTTATGATGATGGTTAGGAGGAGGAGGAGGAGGAGGAGGAGGAGGAGGAGGAGGAGGAGGAGGAGGAGGAGGAGGAGGAGACAAGAAAAGGCAATCGCATCGGATATCCAGTATCCGACCGCGAAAACTGGTAAACAAAAGCCCCGCGAGGTGGTGACTCAGCTCGGACCAACTCGTAGACGCAGGTGGCCTGTCTGAGGAGGCGGAGAAGGAACGGCAGAAAGAGGAGGGGGGAGCTGAATACTTCTATTGACGGGATGATCGTGCTTTAGATCACATTTTAAGGTCGATCGAATCGATTCACATCATCCTTTGATGATAGCGATGAGGATGACGATGATGATGCTGCTTCCGATAATGATGATGGCAGTGATGATGGCGGTGGTGACGATGATGACGATAATGATACTAATTATGATGATGCTGATGATGATGCTGTTGTTGCTGCTGCTGCTGATGATGATGACGACGATGACGATGACGAGGACGACGAGGAGGAAAACAAGAGTGAGCCCAAGATGCGTTAACGATGCCGCAACACACTCTCCCGTCCCACGTCCCCTCCTCACACGCCCATAGGCATGCTGCATGCTCCTTTTCACTCTGGAGAGCGCCCCTCTGGCCATACCATTCTGGCGGGTGCCCCGTTTAAAAAGCACCGCCCTGCACCCTGCGCCATCCTCATACTATTGCCTGACATGTCAAGGGTTGGGACCCAACGTCGGACCAGCCGCTATGCAAGATAACCGCTGCTCCACACGGTAGTATCAACTCTCAGAACAGTCAAAGCGAGAATCCCATGGAGCCGCGCTCCAATCGCGTGACTATTGCACACGTGTGTCTATTTATGAGAATGTACACGTTTATACACATTTTTGATGAAAGAACTTTCGGATGCGAAGATGCAACTCATCTCATGCGAGAACCCCGTCTTGCAAATAAACCACCCTCCATCCGTGCAGCTGCTGAAGCTCGTAAGACGATTGCGCGCGAGGATCTGGCGAACGCCACATCTGAAAACGATATCGTCTCCATCCATGTAGCTGCTGTTATCTGTTTGGGCGAATGCGCACGACGCTACCGAGAGAGCCACACTTAGAAAACACACACACAGGCACACACACACGCACACACAAACACACAAACGCACACACACACAAACGCACGCACACAAAGGCATGCACAAACGCAAACACAGACGCACACACACAAACGCAAACATACAAACACACGCACGCACACACGCACGCACGCACGCACGCACCCACACACACACATACACACACGCACGCACGCACCCACACGCGCACATACCCACGCACCCACGCGCGCACATACCCACGCACGCACGCACGCACGCCCGCCCGCACGCACGCACACACATAAACACACACACACCACACCACACCACGCACAACGCACACACACACCACACACACACACCACACACCACACACACACCACACACACCACACACACACACACCACACACCACACACACACATCACACACCACACACACCACACACACCACACACTACACACACTACACACACTACACACCACACACACACACACACATACCACACACACCACACACACACACACACACCACACACACACACACACACACACACACACACACCACACACACACCACACACACACCACACACACACCACACACACACCACAAACATCACACACAACACACACACACCACACACCCCACACACCACACACACCACACGCACACCACACACACCACACACCACACACACTACACACACCACACCACACACACACCACCCACACCACACCCACACACACACCACACACCACACACACCAGACTCACACACCACCCACACCGCCCACACCACACACACACAACACACACCATACACACACCGCAGACACCACACACCACACGCACCACACACACCGCACACCACACACATATCACACACACATACCACACACCACACACATGTCACACACGTACACTACACACACCACACACCACACACACCACACACATAACACAACACACAACACACAACACACACACACACACCACACACAAACACACTGTCCGTGAACGCACCGTCCGTGTAGCTGGTGGAAGCTTCTAAATGATAGGTCGTGAAGAAATCTCAAGCGAATCGCCTTCCCCACCCTACCGAGACGCGTAGTGGTGCGACGAGGAAGACTCTTCATAAGGACGAGAAGACTGAGGGGAGGAGGAGGAACGCAAGTAGCACGAGACAGGCCGAGAAGAGCGGGCGACGAGGAGGAACGATGAGGATTACGCTGCAGTTGCCCCCCCCCCCGCTGGCGGCCTGCCCTTCTCCCACGGCGGGGTGACCGCCCTGTCCTTGCGACGCACCACGGAGGCCGCCTCGGCCTCCTCCTTCATGCGCAGCTCCTCGGGGGCTCCGACCGCCAGCGTCTTCAGAGTCGGGTGCGCCGACCGGGGGGGGGGGGGCGAAGAGGGGGGGCAGCGCATAATGGCCCGAGGCAGGGGCGTGGCCGATGGGGGCCATGACATCTACGCTCCCGTGGTTCTCGCCCCTCGGGCGTCCCCCGACCCAGATGTCCAGCGCTCCAAAATTTTTCGATGCGTGGGCCCCCGACAACTTCCCTGCGACCAGTGCTTCGTCCTGCGCCGCTTTTGACGGTCACGGGGCCCGTGGAGGGCCTCGGGAGGCCGAACACAGCCCAAACCAAGCCGCTCCAATCTGGCCAGGAGTCTCGGATCTCTGTGGAAAGACAATAGAGAGCAGAACATCCACACCTCCACCCCCATAGGAAGTACCCCGACCAGCGAAGCCGTTTAGGAAACGCGCTCAGGGAAGGCATCGAACAGGGCAGGGCTGTTCAGGAAACGCCGAGGGGCGCTTCGTAAATGCCAATGGTCAGGGTCTGGGTGGCTTTCCCTCCCTTGATTTCCCTGGGCAGTTTACTGCGCGTGGGGGGGCTCCCCCCCCGTCCGACGGGGCAGCAGCCTCGCCTCGGCGGCGCAGCGGCGGCTGCCCGCGACAGGGGGCAGCGCTGCGGGGCTGTCGGCGGGAGACGGTGCGCCCCCAGGGCGCTTCTGGCGAGCTGCGAACGCATCCGCATCCAAAGCCCTCGCGGTCGGGATTCGGGGGCGCAATCCCGCGGGTGCGCGGTCGCACGGGTACGCTCCGCGTGGGGCATGCGCGAGGAAGCGTCCCGCATCCGCGGGGCCGCGGCCCGCGAGGCCGCGGATGCGGACGTGCTTCTCGGCCACGGCCGTTCCCGGGAACTGGGGCCATTGAAACGGAGTCTGGGGCGAAAAGCTGGTCCCGGGGATGGTGCCGAGAGGTCCTCCGGCCCCCGGATGGCAGCCTTCCAGGCGGGGCCCGTCGATAAAGGGTCGCACGAAGGCGAATCCAAGGCCCCAACGTGGCGTGCACCTAGGCTTGGGCGGCACAGCCAAGCGAGCACGTGGCTGCGAGGAGCACGCGGAGAACGAACGACGCATCGCGTGGGGCTGCTGGCTCGAGGCCCGGAAAATGTTTGTGTGTGTGTGTGCGTGTGTGGTATATATATATATACATATATATATATATATATGTGTGTGTGTGTGCGTGTGTGGCATGTGTGTGTGTGTGTGTGTATGCGTGTGTGTGTGTGTGTCAAGTGTGGCTGCACGACGCTCTGGTATCCGTGTCTTTAGGCACTTCACGGTGCTGAGCAAACCCGAGGCTCACTGAGCACCACGGGGTTTTCATTCTCTAGCCAGGCCCAACCCACGATATGCATGTGTGCGCCTTTGCTGATGCCGCGCGGTCCTTCTCCGCCGCGCCTTCGCGCCGGTGGCTCTTGTGCTGTCGCATCCGCTGCTCTAGGCTCTGCAGCTCGGAGTACACCTGGGCGTGCTGGGCGATCTTGGCCAGCTCCTCCTCGTCCAATTCCTCTCCCTGCTCCTGCAACGCTTTCAGCCCGTTTATCTCCTGCAGCCGCCTCTTGCTGTTGCCGATCAGGGAGTCAAGATTCTTGATCTGGTAGGTCCCCTGCTCGCCAGGACCTGATGGAGCCAGCTCCGCCGCGCAGCGCTGGCGGAGCTCTTCCTCCTGGTCGTCCTCTTCCTCCTTCCTCCTCCTCCTCGTCATCCTCCGCTTCCTCCTCCTCCTCCTCCTCCTCCTCCTCATCCTCTTCCATCTTCCGTGTCGTCATCGTCGTCCTCCTCCTCGTCCTCGTCCTCGTCGTCGTCCTCCTCCTCCTCCTCTTCTTCTTCTGGGGGCCACCGCCTCGCCCGCCACCTCTACGCTCCCTTTCCCCGCCGTCTCCCTTGGGGGCTGGAAAGGGCAAGCGCACGGGGGCCTCGGGTGTTGCCAAGGGTTTCCCGGGCCGGAGGTGTCGCCAGGATTTCCAGGGAGGCCCAGAGGGCACCCAGAGCACACCCCTCGCGAGGCCAGGAGGGCCCCCCCCAGGGTTTCAAAATGGTGCGGGAAGCTGGGGACACCATGTGCCATGGCCACCTTCAGCAACACCTGCCTGAGGGGGCATGAGGGGCCAGGCCTGACGGAGCCAGCTCCGCTGCCCAGTTTGGAACCTCCGAGTCGGGCTCGAACTCGAGCTCCTCGATGTCGCAGGTGTTGTAGTCGATGCGCACCGCCTGCTCCCCGCCCCCGCCCTACCAAATGTGTTCTCTCTGTGTGTGTGTGCCTTGCCCTGTCTGCCGGCTCGCCCTTCCTCGGCCGCCTTTGCGTTTCATTACTGTGCCTCATCTTTCATGCCCGCACTACGCACTGCTCCGGCTCCGTCTCCCCGCTCTCTCCGTCACCCCGCTGCTCCCCTTGCGTCAGCCCCTCGCGAGTGATGCTGTCGATCCCCACGTGGGCGGATCCAATATCCCCACGCCGCGTGACCTGGGCCAGACGCGTGCGTCTCTTCGCCCGACTCTGTCGGCCACGCCGCTGCGCGCTTGGCCACGACGCCCACGAGAAAGTGTGTGCCTGTTGGAGGCGGCCAGGGGGTCTGAGATGGCTGGGGCCCCAAAACATCGATCAAGACGGGGGGGGCCCGGGGCCTTCCCCCCCCCCCTTCCTGCTCGCTGGAACCGATGCTGGGCCAGCCGACTCCAATGTGTCTGTGTCTGTGTGTGGCGACCCATCCGACTGCGGCGAAATCTTCGAGGCGCTGTTCTGCTTCCTCGCGACAACATCCAGGTCCACGTCTGGCGTCGCTCCATCTGCTACCTCAGCGGGTGGACCGATGAAGACGCCATGAACGCCTGCACTGCCCTGGACACGGCCTGTCGGACTTGCAAGTGCATCGCCTACCGTGCCCCAGCTGTCACCCGCGCCGTCCTCAGCGTGCAGGCGCCCTGACGGACGATGCTGCGGAAGAGCGGCAACGAAGACTGGTCTGCCACCTGGGAGGTCTTTCAGGCCCTCGAACGTGCTGCTCCTTCCGTGCGGCTGCGGCTTCCTGCCGAGGACTGCTACCTGTGCGCCAGCCTCGTCGACGTGGGCTGCGCGGCCCCCCCACCGTGACTGCCGACGACCCGCACGCGCTCACCTGGATGTTCACTGACCGCGTGGTGTTCCGCACTCCGTGTTTCCCCCCCCCCCCCCCCCCCATGAAGGCGTTCCTTTGCATGCACTTCGCCTTCAGCACCGCCTGATCCCGGGGCTTTGCCCTCTCTTGGCCTTGACGTGAGGCCCCGCCTTCTTCTTTCTTCCTTTCTCTGCTAATTGAAGCTGTGCGCGGCCCGCTTAGCTTCGACTGGAAGAGGCTCGCTCTCGACCCGCGAATCAAAAAAAGTGTTTCCCCCCGCCCCCCCCCACCCCCCCAGGGCCCGGCCGAAGGGCTCCCGCTCCGCCCACCGTGTCGTGCCGACAGCCGCTTCCGCCCCGCCCACCCTGCTGATCAGGGCGACGAGTGCAGGGCCTGCTGCTGCCCCCGCGACGACCTCGGTCGGCCGTCTGGCCAGCGGGCCTCGACGGAGTTCAGCATGGTGGTTATCGCGCCAAGTCTACTACAGAGGGTCAGCCGCGACATGGCTGTGCCGAGGGTGCGCCAGCTCTCTCCCGACGGACGAGAACGGCCGCTCCTCACGGACGAGAACGGCCACATCGACCTCGTCCCGCCACCTGCTGGCCCCGGGCTGACGGCCCTCCCCCAGCCTAGGGTCGGCGGCGAGCGAGGGGGGAAGTGAGAAGGAGAAGGCCTTCTCAGAAAGGCTGGGGAGCCCCCCGGCCTTCTGAGAAGTTTTCTGAGCCTTCCCCGAAGACAACAAACAACTTCTCGGAAGGCGCGAGGGCCTCTGAGAAGTCCCGCCGCCTTCTGCGAGGGCCTTCTCTTTCTCATTCCCTTCCCTCGCTCGCCGCCGAACGTCGACCTCGTCCCGCCACCTGCTGGCCCCAGGCTGACGGCAAGGCTGCCAGGCGAACCACCGGAGGGCCCGACGCCCGCGAGACACTCCCACCAGCTTGCGCCACGTGCAAGCAGTGGCGAAGCGTGCTGGTTTGCCCACAGGCCCACCAACTAATGTTCTAAGAACCTCTTGTGGTCTGCACGTAATGCTCTCTGGCTGAGGCTGTCCTAACACCTCAGCGTCATGTTTTAAGAACACTGCTTTTGCTCCTAGAACTTCTTTGGGGTTCTCTAAGAACATGTCGTGGTAGGCATAGAGGAATGCTGGGACGGTCGGTCCCTGCTCAACACCTGCTCGTCCCCATGATCGACGACGAGGACCCCGACCACACCCATACACCCGTCCCAGTCCTCATCGCGTTGTGAAAAATCACCATGCAAAGGTTTTCGCTATTTTCGGCCTCTGGGAGCACTTCTGGAACCTCGGGGCCGTCAAAAAACAACTCTGGATGTAAAACGGGTCCCGGGGAAGGTGTCCAGACCTCTGGGAGTCGACGTTGTCACACAAAAATCGAAACGTCGGGGGTCTGGGGCTTGTACCACCTGCTCGCCCCTATGATCGACGACGAGGACCCCGACCACACCCACACACCCATCCCGGCCCGCTCCACGCTCGACAACTGGCTCGAGGTGCTTCCAGGTCCCATTCCCCAAGCATGCGACATCCTGATTTTTTCAGGACGGCGTCCCTGGAAATCCCGACCCTTTCCCCGGGACCGGTTTTTGATCCTGAGTCGTTTTCTGACGGTCCCGAGGCACAGCAAGGGCCCCCCCCGGGGCCGCAAATAGCTCGAAACCTCCCGTCCTGATGTTTTTACGACGCGATCATGTCTGGGACTCAGATACCCATCCCGGCCCGCTCCACGCTCGACAACATGCCCGGGGTGCTTCCAGGTCCCATTACATTGCTAGAGGCCTCCTAGGTGATCTGGGGTCCGAGTAGAAGTGGTCGGAGGATCGCGCCGCATCCCCAATGCATCGTCGAGGCATCGGCGATGCACCCGCGCTGCATCGCCAACGCCGGCGAAACATCGGCGACGTCCGCGTGAAGCACATCGGGTCCCACATCGAGCTGTGTGGGCGGTGCATCGGCGATGCGGCGCGAGCCTCCCCGCCCCGCCTGCTCCCACCCCATCCAGGAGGCCTAGAATTGCCTCCTACTCTTCGGCCACAGCAGTGCGAGGGGGGTATGGGGCAGCTGCGCACACAGCGGCTCTGGCCCAGCCTTTCATGCCATGCGCAATGCCAGGGGCGCGCTGCGCGCGCGCGCAATAGCGACTTCGTGGTTGACGCGAACCGGGTGCGAGGAGGCCGCGTTGCACCCGTGCTGCCGACGAGCCGAGCCGGCTCGCGCGACCGCGGCCCGGGGTGCTCGCCCCTCGGCCTCCGCTGCCTCCCCTGGCGGCGAGGGCTCGGAGGGAGCCTCTCTGGGGCCGCTCGCCGCGGCGACTCCAAGAAAGGTGTGGTCTGCAGTCGGGGATCTTCTGACCCGGGTCAATCCAGACCCGGGTCAGCGGGAAACCAAAAACTGCAATGCAGGAACAAAAAGACTGCAACGCAGATCTTCGCAAACCCGGGTCAGCCAATGTGCGTGGCCGCCTCGCGGCCACGAGCGGCTCGCTAATAACCCGGGTCAGCCAGGGGGGGCCTTCGCAGGATCCTGCAGGATCTGGTGCCCTGGCTGACCCCCGTGTGCATTGACCCCCGTCTCAAGGCTCCCGATGCAGAGGGTGTGGCTTGCCGCCGGCACCCGGGGGAGCATCCAGGGGGTCACCCCGGAGGGCGCGCGGGGCCCTCGATGGAGCTCCCCCGCGCCCCGAGGAGGCCCGACGAGGACGGTGTCGTGGCCCCCCCCCAGGCCCTGACGGTGCCGATCGCAGACCGCACCCCGGCGTGACCAGAACCTTCGTCGTCGCCGATCGATGCCTGGCGCCTGCCCGCGCTCGCCCGGGCTGGGCCTCCCCTGGGATCCTGGCGTTGCAGCCTGTGGAGTCCCAAACCCCAGGGATCCAACGCATGGAACAGAAAACGAGGCGGCGTTTCTTCTGTCAACTTTCGGCCTCGAGGTGCCCTCGCCAGGCCTCGGAACCGTCTAAAGACGGCTCAGGATGAGACACCGGTCCTGGGGAGTGGGTCGAGACTTCCGGGGGCCGCGTGTTGAGCAACGCACGACAGCGGATCCCTGGGAACCAGATGGCGCAGCGCCAGAAAGGCCTTCCAGCGCCGCTTGTAGGAGCCCCGAAAGATCTCGGAAGGAGCTTCCGAAGGAGCTCCCGGGAAGCTCGACAGCACGCGTGCTGGGAAACAGCGAGAAAGGGCCTGTTGCCCGGCACCTGCCCGCGCTCGACTGGGCTGGGTCTCCCCAAAGATCCTGGCGCTGCAGTCTTTTCGCGCCAAGCGTACTCGCCCTTGCGCGGGCCCTGGGATCCTCACGGATCAACCCGGCTCGGACAGCGACGCGGACGAATGAGCGACGATCAAAAACGGGTCCTGCGCGAGATGACGCAGCGACCTTACGCGGAGGCTCACGCGGGCCGCCAGCGCGGCACGCCACACTGGAGACTGAAGGGGCCCTGGGACACACAAATCAATACACACAAATAACAGGATTTCCTATATTTTCCCATACTTTCTGGGTTTTCGTCTCCCCCCCACTTCCCACATTTTCCAATATGTTCTTGGGAATCGACGATTCATTGTGTCTGTGTGTTCTTTCCCCTCCTGAGAGACGAGGGCGCTCACGCGCGACCTTACGCGGGCAGCCTGCGCGCCACCGTCGGCGCAAGTGGCTCCGTGTTTTTCCGCGTTGCGCTCCGATGGGGGCCTTGGGCCCGTGGGAAAAACACACAAAACACACAAACACACAAAAAACACGCACAGTGGGAAAAAACACACACAACAAACACACACAATGTGTGTGTGTGTGTGTGTGTATATGTGTTTTGTGTGTGTGTGTGTGTGTGTGTGTGTGTGTGTGTGTGTGTGTGTGTGTGTGTGTGTGTGTGTGTGTGTGTGTGTGTATGTGTTTTGTGTGTGTGTGTGTGTTGTGTTTTTGCCCTGACTCCTCGCGATGCCGTGCCTGCTCCGCTGTGCGTTGGGCCCCGGAGCATCTTTGGCGTGCCCCTGAGCGGGCGCGCCTCCCAGGCCCCCGACGCCGTGCTGCTTTCACGACGTGGACCCAGACATGATCGCGTCGTGAAAAAAGAAAATCGGGGAGGAGGAGGAGGAGGAGGAGGAGGAGGAGGAGGAGGAGGAGGAGGACAATTTTTGGCTATTTTCGGCCCGGGGGGCCCTCGCCTGGCCTCGGGACCGTCAACAAAATGACTGAGGACGAAACACCGGTCCCAAGGATGGGGTCGGGAGTTCCAGGGACGCCGCCCTGATGAAATCGGGACGTCCCAGGTCTGGGGAAGAGTCTCGACCCGCTCGTCGGGACCGGTGATCTTCATCCTGGGCAGCTCGTCTTGATGGCCCCGAGGCCGGGCAAGGGCCCCCGGAAGCCGAGCACAGCGACAGCCTCCCGCCGCGACTTTTGTCGTGGCTCGAGGGGGGCCGCGCTGCCCTCGTCCTGCCAGCCAGGTCCTGCGACCCGGCTCTCTGGCCGGGGCTGCTTCGGCGTGGGCGCCGCGTGCCTCGCGGGCGCTCCCTTCCACACGCCGTGGTCGCCTGGGCGGTGTTCTGCGGGGCCGCTCGGGCCTGTTCTTCGGAGGCAGCTCCCGGGAGGTCTGCTTCCGAACGGTACGAGGCGATTGAGCCATGTGAGAGAACACCATTCCACCAAATCTGGCTTGAGATTGAAGCTGGGATTGCGCCGGACTGGCCCAGATTGCGAGGCACTGGGACATATTGCGCCGAATCAGCCCGAATCGAGCCAGTTATGGACCGCGGAAACACCAGCGCCGATGCAGAATTAAACCTCTCAGGAGTTGCATCTTGGCCATTCGTTCCAATCCCATCCCATGCTACTGCTGGCCTCGTACACAAGCGACCCGGCCGCCCCTCTGGGGTGGCAGCGGCGGCGGTGCCTCTTATGCTACGGGCACTCACATCCACTGCGTTACAGCGTCTCTTGTGCCGAGGGAGGGGGCTGCTGAGCCAGGCGGCTCGCTTGCGCTCCCATCCCGTTCCATGTTGCCCTACAGAGCCTCTCCGGCTGGGCGTCGCACCGCCTGGGCTTGGCTTCACTGTTTATAGCTGCGCTGCTGCGCTGTCTTCTTCGTATCAGTCCAACCCTGCGGGCGGTGTTGCCAGGATCCCCGCCACCTGCCGTTCTTTTCTCGCCATCTGCCGCCCCTTTCCCGTCCCTAGACATCCGAGGATGTGCTTCTTCAATCGGCCCTAGAGGCCTCGACCCCTTCCCTGGGGTTCGATTTCCTCCTCGGATCCGTTCTTGATGGTCCTGGGGCCCGATGAAGGTCCCTGGAGGCCAATGTGACAAGAGAGCGCCTGGATTGGCAAGAGCCATATCGTCGGAGCGGGACATAGATACCGCACCGTGTCTCGTGTCTCGGTCCATAGTGACCAGTGCCGTGTCTCGTGCTTCGCTCTCCCTCCGGGACTTCGCCCCCGGCTACTGTCCAAGGCGTACCTTTTCTTGTGCAAGCTCTTCGGCACCGCCTGTACTCCGCACCCTCCAGCCGCCTGAGGCCCCGCCCGCCCGCGCCCTGTCTCCCCAATTAGTGCTTCGCGCGCCCCGCCTAGCTCTTAACCGGAAGAGGCCCGCTCTCGACCCGCCGACCAAAAAAGTTTGGGTCCATGTGGAAGAAGAAGAATAAGAAACATAGGACGAATAATAATAATAATAATAATAATAATAAAAAAAGATAATACAATAATAATAATAATAATGATAATAATAATAATAATAATAATAATAACAAATCTGTATATGTATAATCATAAACTCTTGGCGCTTCGCGCGGATGGAGCGCCGCCGGGGGGCCCGGGCGCGGATCCCCAAAATCCGCGCGGAACGCTCCAATTTTTTCTATGTTTATGTGGCTTTTCTCTTCTTCGAGTCTTTTTTTGAAAAGCACTTTTTCGATCCGCGGGACGAGAGCGCACCTCTTCCGGTCGAAGCTAAGCGGGCCGCGAGAAGCTTGAATTAACAAAGAGAAGGAGGGGAAAAAGCACCCAGACACAATTAATCGTCGACCCCCAAGAAAATATGGGAAAGCATGGGAAGTGGGCGGGGGAAGACAAAAACCCAGAACATATGAGAAACTATGGGGCATCGCTTTACTCGTGTGTATTTACCTGTGTTTCCTTGTGCCCATACTGTTATGTCGGGCGTGTTCTGGTTCTGGTCCATAATGTTATGTCGGGCGTGTCCCCCTACAGGAGGATTTTTGACGAAAAATAGAAAAATACCCCCAAAAATGCCCCCCAAAGGTCACAAAATACCCCCAAAATAGTCCCCAGACTATTTCAGGATTATTTTTGGGGTATGTCTTATTTTTCGTCGAAAATCCCCCTGTAGGGGGACAGGCCCGACCCAACCATAATGACCACGCAAATATGGGAAAATATGGGAATGGGGCGGGAAGACAAAAACCCGGAACATATGAGAAACTATGGGGCATCGTTTTTTATTAGTGTGTACTTCTTTGTGTGTCCTCGTGCCCCTTGGGATGACCACGTGCCGTGGCCCACAGTGGCCTGCCGCGCTCACCCGTCGCTCCGTGGCCCTCTCGGGGGGTGCCTGCTCGGCCTGCCGGCTCGCTCTGCGCGCGCGTCGCCCGCCCGCCCGGTCCTCCGCGGCGCCGTCGGGCTCCTCCTCCTCCTCCTCCTCCTCCTCCTCCTCCTCCTCCTCCTCCTCCTCCTCCTCCTCCTCCTCTCTCTCCCCTCCCCCTCCCCCTCCCCCTCCCCCTCCTCTCCCCTCCTCCTCCTCCTCCTCCTCCTCCTCCTCCTCCTCCTCCTCCTCCTCCTCCTCCTCCTCCTCTCTCGCCCTCTCTCCCCCTTCTTCTCCTTCTTCTTCTTCTTCTTCTTCTTCGTCTTCTTCTCACTTGCGCCACCTGCAGCTGAAACTCAACTGTCTGCTGCGTCCGACCTTGCTGGGAGGTCTCCTGTTTGCATGTGCCCAGAGAGGTGGGTGATTTTCTACGCGGCGTCCCTGGCAGTAGACTGCCTTCCCACTGACTGTGACCCTTCAGCACGTCGGATGAGTGTGTGTGTGTGTGTGTGTGTGCGTGTGTGTGTGTGTGTGTGTGTGTGTGTGTGTGTGTGTGTGTGTGCGTGTGTGCGTGCGTGCCGTGTGCGTGTGTGTGTGTGTGTGTGTGTGTGTGTGTGTGTGTGTGTGTGTGTGTGTGTGTGTGTGTGTGTGTGTGTGTGTGTGTGTGTGTGTGTGTGTGTGTGTGTGTGTGTGTGTGTGTGTGTGTGTGTGTGTGTGTGCGTGTGTGTGTATATATGTGTTGTGCGCGTGTAAGTGTCTAGCACTCCATTCATGCTTTTTCTTGTGTCGCCCGTTCGTCGGGAAGGCCCTATTTCCGTCCTGCCAGGCCATAGCTCTCAGCGTTACCCCACCAATCGGCTGGTCTGGCAGCTTTGCAAGTTGTAATTCGTACCGACGTTTCAGGCTGCCTTGAGTCGAGCTATCGTGCTCCTCGGGTTCTGGCCGCTGCACGCTCTTCGGGTCATCATCTGTGGGTGGTTCTTGACCTTAGTTTGCACCAGACTGCTCGCGCTTCAGTTCACCTTGAGTCGACTCTCTGCGTACTCCTCGGGTTCTGGCCGCTGCGCGTTTTGGGCTTACAGTCCTTACTCCACCCATTCTCTGCAATCTGCGCCTCTCGTCTTTCACCATCCTTCTGCACGGCCGTGACTAGGCTGTTCAATCATGGTGCGTTCGACTAAGTTCGTTCGCAATTTGCACCTCCACCTGCCGACCGCGCCTGAGGTCCCTCTGCGCCGCCGACTTAGTGTGTGTGTGTGTGTAAGTGTTTCCCCAAACCATGCCCGACCCGATTTCTATGCCGACGCCTGGCAACTGTTTTCAATATCAGAGATGTCGAGAACACATTCGGCAACATACAAAAAGGTTCAAACCCTGTGCTTCGCTTTGAAATTTCCACCCGGCCCCCCCGCCTTCCCTTCTCCGTTCTCTCCCATCCCCTGGCCTTCACGAAATACTTCGTGGGCAGCCATCCATCGATGCCAACGGTCAAGATCACGTCGTTCTTACTCCTGAAAAAAATGACGCCGTCCTCCATGGCCTTTGGAACATCGACGTACACAAAGAGCTCTGCCGTTGAACGCATTCCGCGGATCTTACCGTCTTCGGGCAATCCGTTGGCCATGTGGATATGATTCCGTGCCACTTTGGATAGGCCCTGCCTCTTAACAAACGGCCAATGGACCAAATATGTGCCGTGGACGCACTCTGTGACCGTGGAGGGGTCAGTGATTTGCTCCAGCAGCAATTCTGACTCCACCACCTTCATAGTGTGGCCCTGGTTGGCTCGAATGAGCAACTCACCATCAAACTCACGCACCATAGTGTATCTCTCCTTCTCGTCGAAATACACTGCAGCCATGATCTCCTCTAAGTTGTACGGCTTGAAATTCCGTAACTTCATGATCTCTCGCAGGCGCACAAATCCGTCCTGGCCCGACTGGCGCGAAGCTACAGCAGGAGGAAGCTGGAGAGGAGTATGAGATAGCGAGGAAGAGGAGGATGAGGTGGCGGAGGAGGAGGAGGAGGAGGAGGAGGAGGAGGAGGAGGAGGAGGAGGAGGAGGAGGAGGAGGAGGAGGAGGAGGAGGACGATGAAGAGGAGGAGAATGGTAGCAGCAATGGGAGAAGGGGGGAGAACCAGGAGCAGGACTCGGAACCGGCTCTGTCAAGGGACATGCCCCATCGGCCCTTGGCTTTCGCTGGCCAGGCCATCTAAGGAACATCTGAAGCCTGCGGCGGACCCGTCCTGGGGATGACGGGATGGGAGGGAGGAACGAGGGCGGACAGCTGACCCGGAATTGCCTCACGACGCATCTCCAAATGGTTCGCTCAAGCAGCACGTGCTTGCCGCACAACGCTTGCCAGCTTGGACCTCCAACCAGTGGGCCTGTGCACCGTGGACGTGCAAGCTGCGTGGTGAAGGCAGCGTGGTGCAAGCCAGGTGGTGGGAACCATGCGGTGCTATCTGTGCGGTGCAACCTTTTGTTTTTGACTTTCCACAAATCTGTGTTCTCCGCTCACAGGCTTGCGGCACTGGGTCCCCGCAGGAGCCGAGAAGGTGGCTCGGCCTTCCGCCAAGCCACGCCCTCCGGCAAAAATGTGGTGAAGGCAGTGTGGTGCAAGCTAGATGGTGGGAGCAATGCGGTGCTCTCTGTGTGTTGCAGTCTGTGTGGTGCAGGCCATGTGGCGAAAGCAGCTTGGTGGAAGGCAGTGTGGTGCGAGCTGGGTGGTGGGAGCAGTGCGGTGCTCTCTGTGTGGTGCAGCCCGTGTGGTGCATGCTGTGTGGCGGAAGCAGTCTGGCGGAAGGCAGCGTGTTGAGAGGCGCGGTGGCGCACGGGGCGGCGCCGAGGCCGCGACGGGCGCCTCCGCAGAGCAGGAGCTCGGCGCCGCCTCTCTGCGCACGAGGCGGCGATGCTGCGGCGCAGGAGGCAGCGACGAGGTGGCGACGAGGCGGCCACGTGCGGCGACTGGGCGAACACCTGGAAGCGCCACACGGTGCACGATGCAGCGAGGAGGCGGCGATCGGGTGGCCACGGGCAGCGACGCCGCGAAAGCCAGAAGCACAACAGGAGCCACCAAGTGCGAACACATGTTGGGACATATGAACTTCGCTTGCGATTAAGCCGCACGACGACGACCTTGGACCCACCACACTTGATGCATGCTTGATTGAACACTTGGTTCAGAATCCCACCAGCCCTCCTGGCGTAGGTGGTTCAACAACTTATGTCTTCTCTCTTCCATGGCCCCTGGGTTCGGACGGGCCGCCCCGCGGGTAGTTAGAGCGTCCAAGATGGCCCAAGATGGCTCCAAGAGGGCCTCAGAGCCCAAGATGGCCTCCAAGGTGGCCCAAGATAGCCGAACGTGGTTCAAGATAGCCTCTGACATGGCTCCAAGGCACCCCAAGGCAGCTCCAAGACCCTGAAACGGTTCCCAGTGTCCTTCGAGCCTTCCCAGGCACTCCCCAAGAGGCCAACATCCTTCAAAAACCCACGGACAACCATTGCCTTTTGCCTTCCCGCTTCTTCGCCTCCAATGGTCTTGTGAAGCCTCAGGATGGCCCACAAGAGCCCCAGGATGGCCCACGCCAGCGCGCCGCGCCATCAGTCCCGTCCTTGCGGATGCGCACGTCGAGCTTGTGGGCCGCGTGCCGGAGCACGTAAGAGAACATCTTCGAGATCTTCACGTGCTCGCGTTCCTTCCCCATCCTCGTCCTCCTCCGACGTTCTCCTTCTCCTCCTCCTCCGACTTTCTCCTTCTCCTCCTCCTCCTCCTCCTCCTCCTCCTCCTCCTCCTCCTCCCACTCTCTCCTCCTCCACCTCCTCCTCGGCCTCCTCCACCTCCTCTTCTTCCTCCTCCTCCACACTTCCTCATCCTCTTCCCTCTCCTCCCTCCGCCTCCCCATCTTATGTTTGCTCCTCGTCCTCCTCCTCCTGCTCCCACTCTGGCTCCTCGCTCTCCTCCTCCTCGATCGTCTTCGTCGTCGTTGTTGTCGTCGTCGCCCTCCTCCTCCTTCTCTCCCCGCCCACGTCTTCTTCCTCCCCCTCCCTCCCTCCCTCCTTCCCCTCCTCCTCCTCCTCCTCCTCCTCCTCCTCCTAATCCTCCTCCTCGTTCTCCTCCTCCTCCTCCTCCTTCTCCTATCCCCCCCTCAATTTTCCTGTTTTCTTTCCTCCTCCTCCTCCTCCTCATACTCCTCCTCCCGCGGTCAATGCTGAGCCGTTGGTGGATGGGCTCGAGCTGCTCCCTGTTGCCGTCCCTCTTGAGATTCCAGCGCTGGTCCGCGCCGTCCTCCTCCTCGAGACCTCGGGAGGGTGGGGATGATGATGATGCTGACAAAGATGATGCTGATGATGACAACGACGTTGATGATCCAGCTGCTGCTGATGATAATGCAGAAGCTGGCCATCGCTCGGACGTCCATTCCCTGTGCTTTTTTTCGGTTTCGTGCGTGGTTTTTTCGCCAAATGATCAAGGATGCTCCTCGATGGTCCTCGCCGAAGGAGAAGTGCACACGTCCGAGCGATGGCGATTGTGTGGATGGTGCTGCTGCTGATGCTGCTTCTGCGGAAGCTCGTGGCACGGACGGGGGGGCGCTGCCTTCTCAGAGCTCACAGCGGGGGCTCTCGCTGGACGCCTCTCGCTGCACTCTGCGATCGCACCCGGCTGCATGCACGGTGCTGGCACTGGAGAGGGAGTTTTTTTTTTTTTTTTTTTTTTTTTTTTTTTTTTTTTTTTTTTTTTTTTTTTTTTTTTTTTTTTTTTTTTTTTTTTTTTTTTTTTTTTTTTTCTAAAGGCAGCATAGAGGACCACTTCGTGAACTATCCACCTGCTCGTGATAAGTACGTATACTACGCTCGAGAGCCGACAGGTCTCTAGTGCCTCGCTGTCACGCCGCAGAGCGTGCTCCCACAATGGGTAGTATGCAGTCCCCCCGATGAGAACTGAGAACGGGGCTCCGAAACTCGAAAGCAAGGGTCTGGAAGCCAGTGGAACTCCAACGGAAGCTTGGCCATGGACATCACCGCCGACCTCATGAGACAAGGAGTCCTCCAGGGTCTGCAGCCTCCTGGGCACACTCCTGATCGAACGCCCCCACCGTATTATCGTTCGCCAAGAAGGTTGCACGGCATTCCTGTTAAAAGCTCGTCTCTCGCCCAGACGGCTGGCCCATACGGCGCTCGCCTTTCAAGGGGGCGCTTCTTGCAATGTGAGGCAGGCTCGTAGATCCTTGAGAGGGGACTTGGAACGGGAGGGTGCCTTGCAGCATCCTTGATGGATCCTGGGTTTACTCTTGTCCTCCTCCTCCTCGTCCTCCTCGTCGTCGTCCTCCTCCTCCTCCTCCTTCTCCTCCTTCTCCTCTTCCTCCTCTCCTCCTTTTCCTCCTCCTCGTCCTCCTCCTCTTCCTCCTCCTCCTCCTCCTCCTCCTCCTCCTCCCTCTCGTCGTCCTCCTCGATCCTCGATCCTTGTCTTCCCTCCCCCCAGATCTCCGTCCTCGCGTTTTTTCGCAATGTGGACCCCCGTGGCCTAGCCCCCTCTTCCACTGGACAGAGTTTCACCCCGAGCCGTTTCTGCGACGGGCCTGTGGCCTGGCGAAGGCCCGCGGGGGGCCGAACGCGGCCAGAGACCTCCCGCCGCGCTTTGATGCTCGACGAGAGGCAGTCTGGGTCCCTCCTCCTCCTCCTCCTCCTCCTCCTCCTCCTCCTCCTCCTCCTCCTCCTCCTCTCCTCCTCCTCTCCTCCTCCTCCTCCTCCTCCTCCCCTCCTCCTCCCCCCCTCCCCCTCCCCTCCTCCTCCTCCTCTCCTCCTCCTCCTCCTCCTCCTCCTCCTCCTCCTCCTCCTCCTCCTCCTCCTCCTCCCTCCTCCTCCCCCTCCTCCCCGGGCGCCGGCGCGCCTGGCGGCAGGGCGTCGTCGTCCTCCTCCTCGGCCGCGTCGCCGTCGCCGCCGCCCGACTCCGGGGCTGGCCCAGCGCTGCTGGCGGCCCCGGTGGCGGTGCCCAGGTCCTGGGGCAGCTCGAGCCCTTCCTCTGCCCTCTCCTCCTCCTCCTCCTCCTCCTCCTCCTCCTCCTCCTCCTCCTCCGCCTGCCCCTGCTCCTGCTCCTGCTCCTCCTGCTCGTCCGCCTTCCTCCTTCCTCCTTTCTCCTCCTCTCTCCCCTTCCTTCCTCCTCATCTTCTCCCTTCCTCCTTCCTCCTCCTCGGTCGTGCGGTCAGGGGGTCGAAGCCGAGAGAAAGGCCGAGAAGACACCAGGGTGAAGAACAGATCAGAGGCAACAGCATGCCCAGGAGTGGATAAGCAAGCAGCCTCGGGCGCAAGCGAGAACATACCCACTGCTCCTTCCGTCTTCCTCCTGACCAACATGTCGAAGCGAATCCGACCGTGGAGACGAGGTCGTCCGTCCTCTTACGAGGTTTCACCATCGATGGCCTCAGAGTTTGAATGTTCGACGACGCAAACAAAAGTGGAAGCATATCAAGGAACGCTGAAATTGTCGAGCAGGGTTAATAAGTTCTTTCGAAATCCCACCAGCCCTTTAGGGCGCAGGTGGTCCAGAAAGTTTTCTCTTCCAATCCCCTTCTTCCCATTCGGGGATGGGTTCACCCCTCCCCCTTACCCCCTCCCCTGGACTTGGACAGGGCCGATCGCGAGGCGTTGGAGCGTCAAGATGGCCCAAGACGGCCCCACCAGCGCCTCAGAGAGCCCAAGATGGCCTCCAAGATGGCTCAAGATAGCGCAAGATCGCTCAAGATGGTTTCCAAGATGCTCGAAGAGGCCCCAAGACCGCCTCAAGACGGCTCCAAGTGGCCAAAACGCTTCCCAAGGAGGCCCCGAAGAGGCCAACATCCTTCCCAAACCCTGCGAAAAATCAACGTTTGTTGCTTTCTCGCCTTTTCGCTTCCGATGGCCATCCGAGTCCTCAAGATGGCTCCGAGATGGCCCAAGAAGAGAGCCCCAAGACGGCCCCAAGAGCGCCCAAGACCGCCACAAGAGGCGATGTTTTGGGCTCCCGAAGGTGGGCCCTAATTGAAGCTCCCATCTTTGTCGATCGACGACTTCCAAGATGGCCTCAAGAGCGCCCCTAAAGCTCCCAAGAGCGCCCAGAGAGGGCCCCAAGAGGCGCACAAGTGGCCTCCAAGAGGCTCCCAAAAGACCCCAAAGAGGCCTCAAGAGGACACCCGGGGCACCTAAGACGCTCAAAGACTGCCCAGGGCCCGCCTAGATGCCCCCAGACGGCCCCAAGAGGACTCTGACAGCCTTCCAAGAGTCATCCGAGGAGACTCCGAGAAACATTCACGAAGCTTCTGGCTCTTCTGCTCGCCCTTTTCCTCCTCCTCTTCCTCCTCTTCCTCCTCCTCCTTATCCTCCTCCTCCTCATCATCCGCTTACTCCTTCTCCTCTAATCCTTCTGCTCGCCCTCCTCCTCCTCCTCCTCCTCCTCTTCCTCTTCCGTCTCCTCCTTCTCCTCCTTCTCCTCCTCCTCCTCCTCCTCCTCCTCCTCCTCCTCCTCATCTGCAAATTCATCATGCTTCTCATCATCCCTCCTCCGCCTCCTCCTCCTCTTCCTCTTCCGTCTTCTTCTTCTTCTTCTCCTCCTCCTCCTCCTCCTCCTCCTCCTCCTCCTCCTCATCTGCACATTCATCATCCTGCTTATCATCCCTCCTCTTCCTCCTGCTGCTCCTCTTCGCCCTCTCTCGAATGATAACGGCTGTCCACATTTTGCTCCTACGCTTCCATGATCATATCAACTCGCCTGGGCGTCGGTTTTGGATGGGCCGGTGGGGATACGCTTTTTTGATTGGCGGCTCACAAGGACAGATCCAGGAAGCGGGTCGGTCTCGGCTGGGGCACAGGGCGAGATAATTAGCAACGACGGCGCGTAGGCCGACGCAGCAAGTCCACGTGCCAGGGACAAAATGCCCCCCATTAAGATGCAGGCGACCCGGAAGTGGGGACGCGGGCACCAGAAGGAAACTGACGGAGGAGAAGTCGCACAGTGGCGCCAGCTCAGTCCGTACCGACCAGCGCGTAAAGGCGTGGGTCAGTCCGTACCGACCACCGCGGCGTGGGTCACGCCGCTTTTTTTTTTTTTTTTTTTTTTTTTTTGTTTGTATTTTTTATGTTTTTTTTTTTTTTTACAGCCGCAGGCGGAAGCGCCGGCGGCGGCGGGTCACGGTCGGGCTGCGGCCGTGACGGCGGTGGGCATACGCGAAGGGCCAAGAACATGGAAGTCTGAGCAGCGGTTGAAGTTTGAGCATTTGAACTGGTGGGTGGCCTTGAAGAGACGGCGGACACGACACATAATCGAGAGGGATACGACGGAATACATCATGACGCACAAAATGAGAAGGCGTGGCGAGATGCTTCAGGGTGCAGGCGTTGTGCAACGGCTGTGGCGGCAGCTGCGGCGACAACACCGCAGGGAAAAACACCTTCAATCTCGTCCTTTCCCTGCACCCCTGCTAAATCCACGGGGACCAGCTCGCAAGGAATATATCCTTCTCTACTCGTCACGTACGAGGCGGCAGACATAAAATTCGTCCCTACACGTCGCATGGCAACGCAGGAGGCGGAACAGCATACTACTGCGGGCTGCTCGTCGCATTGCGACGCAGATGCAGCGAGCTGCAGCTCAGACCTGTTGAGCTCGACTGCGATTGTCTCGTCCCTCGTGGCCAGGCTCTCCTGGTGATGTACAGCATTGCAGGGGTCTCCAGCAGCATGTGAAACGAGGACTCTCCTTCGACCCGCGCACGCTGGTAGCTGGAGGTCTTTTTGTCGCAAGCGGCGGCCGATGCAGGCGAGGGCCACTGCTGGGGCCAACTGGACACGCAGGGGAGCGGGAAGCGCGCGAGAAGGGGACCGGAGAGCCGCCGCGGGCGGCGGAGCCACGCCGGAGAGACACGCCTGCGCCGCCGATCGAACAGCGTGCCTGAAAGGACTGCAGCAGGGCGCGCGGCAAGAACACCGACTCCTCCTCCTCCCTCCGTCCTCCTCCTCCTCCTCCTCCTCCACCCTCCTCCTCCTCCTCCTCCTCCTCCTCCTCCTCCTCCTCTCCTCCTCCTCCTCCTCCTCCCTCCCTCCTCCTCCTCCCCTCCTCCCTCCTCCTCCTCCTCCCCTCCCTCCTCCTCCTCCTCCCTCCTCCTCTCCTCCCTCCTCCTCTCCTCCTCCCTCCTCCTCTCCTCCTCCTCCTCTCCTCCTTCCTCCTCCTCCCTCCTCCTCCTCCTCCTCCTCCTCCTCCTGACTCTGGAGGTGGCCCACGTGGTTTTGCCCCAGGAGCCACCGCCGCAGAGCGGCGAGCCCGGACCTGGCTTCAGGCACGAGGCGTCCGCCCGCCTTGGCCCCGTTCTCCACCCTCCCGCCGCCGCCGAACGGAGCCACGCGAGTACCGCCACGTCAGGTCGGAGAAGGCCAGGACATGTCCGCCTAGCCGCAGCCCGGGCCAGGTGATCTCGAGTGAGGATGTCATCCCTGGTGGTCAGGCTCTGGTGGTCATACTGCGATGCACTGAATCTTCATTTGGGCACCAGTACGATAATATTCTTACGCGCAATGCAATACCGTATAACGCAAAGCCGAACACATTGACATTATCCTCCTCCTCTCCTGATCCTCCTCCTCATACTCTTTCCCCTCATCCTCAACCTCCTCCTCCTCTTCCTCTTCCTCTTCCTGCCCCTCCTCTGCCTCCTCCTCCTCCCCCTGCTGCTGCTGCTGCTGCTGCTCCCCCTCCTCCCGGAGGCGAACCAAGCAATGCAAAGCAATGCAGCCCAAACCAATGCTAAGCAACGCAAGCCAATGCAGCGAAAGTCCAAGCAACGCGAGGCTATTAACCACACGCTAAGCCCAACCAATACACCGAACGCTGGGGACAGCCGTTGCACTAAACGCCGGAAACAGCTGTTGCACCCAACGCGGGTACAGCAATAACACCAAGCAGCGGGGATAGTTAGTACACCAAGCGCCGAGGACAAGTAATACTCCCAACGCTGGGGACAGTTATGAACCAAACAATGGGAGACAGCTATTGCACCAAAAGATGAGGACAGCGAATGCACCAAACGCTGGGGACAGCTATTACACTGAACAGCGGGAACAGCTATCACACCAAACGCTTGGGTCACGTATTGCACCAAGGCGCTGGGGACAGCTATTCCATCAACAGCTCGGAACAGCTATTATCCTAAACGGTTGAACATTCTAAAGTTTCAAGCTGCCACCCTTTCAAACCTGTGAAATACACAAGCTTTCAAACTTTTGGGGCTTCCAAGAAGTGTCCTAACTTTGGGAGCTTTTCTTAAGTTTGAATCTAGTTTCGAAGTTCGAATACTTGAAACTTTGAACATCGGAGATCTGGGGAGCTTGAACATGCTGAATTCTAAGTACTGTGGAGAGCCTGAGGCCGCACATAATGGACGCTTGCACGTTTGAAAAAAGGTTTTGTAATTTCGAACCTCCACAATCAAAACTTTTCAGACTTCGATCTTGCGGCTGGCAGACCAGGTACCGTTTGAAACTGCTCAGCTTTCAAGCTTCAAACTTTCGCGGTTCTCGGACTCGAACATGATGCCCACTCCGGGGGGGGGCGCCTCATCCTCCTGCCGCTCTTCCTCCCTCCTCCCGCGCCGCGTCCTTGCCCAGATCTCTCCAGAGTCTCCTGAAGCCTTCCGAGGTCCCTAGAAGTATCCTGGCCCTCAAAAGGGCGAACAAAACAGCACCAGGGCATTTGAATTTAACTTCCGATCGAGGTTCTAAGCAGAACAGAAACGTCTGTGGGTCTGGAGGGCAATGGCATATTTAGGGCTCTGGAAAGTAAAGGGAGGTCCATAGACGTGCTAAGGAGGTCGCCAGAGGCCTCTGGAGACCCCCGGAAGTCAAAAGGGCAAGCAAACACAACAAAGACTCCATCCTCGACTCGGATCCTCCCCCTCCTCCTCCTCCTCTCCTCCTCCTCCTCCTCCTCCTCCTCCTCCTCCTCCTCCCCCTCCTCCTCCTCCCCATCCTCCTCCTCCTCCTCCTGCTCCTCCTCCTCCTCCTCATCCTCATCCTCCCCCCTCTCCTCTCCCTTTTCCTCCTCCCCCTCCTCCTCCCCTTTCCCTCCTCCCCCCTGAGATCCGACGTTGCGAAAATACAACATCGTGGGCACTTACAACTGAAGCTCTATCCACCACCGTGCCCCATGTCACATTGAGGTGTGATATGATCCCAAGTGCTGCCTGGTAGGTTTACTGTTTTGTTCCCGACCGCAGCGTCGGTCTCGAATGCCACGAGCCTCAAACAGGGGTGGGGTGAAATGGGTGCCAGCGAAGCCACCGCGCGTGACTAAGCAGAGGGACAGGATGATAATGATGCTGAGGAGGAGGGGGAGGAGGAGGAGGAGGAGGAGGAGGAGGAGGAGGAGGAGGAGGAGGAGGAGGAGGAGGAGGAGGAGGGAGGAGGAGGAGGAGGAGGAGGAGGAGGAGGAGGGAGGAGGAGGAGGAGGAGGAGAGGAGGAGGAGGAGGAGGAGGAGGAGGAGGAGGAGAGGAGGAGGAGGACGAGGAGGAGGAGGAGGAGGAGCAGGACGAGGAGGAGGAGGACGAAGGGGAATACCACAGCACCTACCTCATGAGCCCGCAGGAGGCATACGAATAATGATGAGAAGAACACCAAGGCGAAGAAGACGGACCATACTGCTAAGAAGAGACATCACACTACCGAGGAGTGCTCCATCGGGTCTCTGCAGGTCGCCGCAGGGACCCCGCCCCGCAGGTCCCAGCTCGCTGCTGCGCACCGCTCCTCCCCCTCGAGGCCGCCGGGGCGCCCCGACGCATCTCCCCTGGAGCTCTCCCAAAGGGCCTCCCCCGGGTGCGCACCCCGAGATCCTTCGGCTCGGCGCTCTGGCCCCCGGGCGTCTCCTCGCCTCCTCGGTCGCCATGGAGACGCTCAGAGGCCAGCTCGCTGAGCCGAGGTATCTCGGGGGCCGGCTCGCCGAGCCGAGGTATCTCAAGGGCCGGCTCGCTGAGCCGAGGTATCTCAGGGGCCGATCTGGCCCCCGGGCGTCTCCTCGCCTCCCCAGTCGCCATGGAGACGCTCAGGGGCCAGCTCGCCGAGCCGCAGTATCTCAGGGGGCGCCACAAGGTGCCCGGGATGGCCTCCGGGCCACCAGCAGGCCGCCACGCAGGCCCGCCATGCCTCCGAGGTGACGCTCCGAGATCTCTCCGAGCTGACGCTGCGGTCGGCCCGCCTCAGAAGGATGAGCGATAAGGATGCAAGGGCCTCGGAAGGCCACGTCGACTCTTTGCGAGCGGGGCGCGGCCAGCGAAAGCGGCCAGGGATGGGCCGAGGAGGCAAGGGCGCAAGGGTACCCTTGGGAAGGTTGCCCATCCTTGCCATGCGGGTTGACGGTACCAGCTTTTGCTCCTCGGCTTGCCTGAGAACAAAGGTCGCTCCGAGACGGCCCAAGAGGGCGCCGAGGGGATCCCCAGTGGGGCCCCAGAGCCCGGATTCCCCGTCGCAGTCCGACGTGCTGTTTGCGCTCGCACCTCTGCGCGCCTCGATCGGTCCAAGACGGCCCGAGAGCCTTCCAAGACGGCCCCAAGACGGCCCCCGAGAAGCCTCCAAGACGGCCCAAAGGTGACCCAATTAGCTTCAGACGGCTCACGCGCGCCCCAAAGTGGCCCAAGGAGCTCCCCAAGAGGCCCCGAGACGCCCCCAGGAGCCCACAGGAGGCCCCCAAGAGGCTGCCTGGAGAGGCCCCCAGGAGGCACCCCAAAAAGACTTCGTGGCGCTGAGCTGGGGCAGGAGGGGAGGAGGAGGAGGAGGAGAGGATGAGGATGAGGATGAGGAGGAGCAGGATGTGGCGGAGGAGGGGGAAGGGAAGGAATGAATGATATAAAGAGGAGAAGACGACGCCGATGACGAGGAGAGACACTCCGGCAAAGAGTGGGAGAGCGCGTCACACGTTGCGGCGCTCGCAAGCCTCGGGACACGAATCTTCACACGTTACGGCTCCTTTGCGCTCCTCGACCAGACGCCACCTAGAGCGCTGGGCTGGCACGGTGGCGGGACTCGCAGCAAGCAACTGGATAGACCACATCTTGCTGCGGCGTTTCTCGAGCCGGATCGATCCTTCAGGGTACCAGGGCCCCAAACCGGCCGAAAACACCTGGTGTGACAAGACGCGGTGCCTGGAACTTAAGGTCCTGGTCCTGCTTGATCGCTGAATCTTCTTCTCCTCCGTCTTCTCGGTCCTTGTTCTCCCTCTCCCAAGGTCTCCGACGTCTTGATTTTCGCTTCACAGCTTGCACCGCCAGAAATGTAGACCCCTTGCCCAGGATCGCTCCGCCTTCCCAATTTTTGTTTTTTCCACGGGGCCCTGCGAGGGTCCTCGGAGCCCGAAAACGGCCAAGAGCCTCCCATGGTGGTTTGACTTGTTGACGACAGGACTGGGTCGTCGTCCCTCTCTCTCCTCGATCCTCGGCCTCCTCGATCCTCGACCCTCCTCGATTTGGTTCCCTCGCTCCTCGGTCCTCGATCCTCGTCCTCGCCCGGTCCTGTGGCAGGTCGAAGTCGTCCTCCTCGTCGGCCGACTGGAACGACGCTTCCGAGGCAGGGGCGCCTCCGTCGTCCTCCAGGGGGCGAAGGGGGGGGGGGGGGCTGTGGAGGCGGGGGCGGGGGTCCAGGAGGCACGTCCTCTTCCCTCTTCTTTACTCCCCCCTAGACATGATCGCGTTTTTAAAAAATCAGGACGGGAGGTTTTGGGCTATTTTGAGCCCAGGGGGGCGGGGGTACCTACCGTCATGTGGTACCTACCGTCACCTACGACGAGACGCCGGCGACGGACGACGACGACGACGAGGGAGGAGGAGGAAGGACGACCACGGCGACAACGACGACGGAAACGACCACGACGCCAAAGAGGACGACGACGACGAACACGAGGAAAGACAGAGGACGACGTAGGCGACGACGACGACGACGACGACGGAGGAGGGAGGACGGCGACGACGACGACGACGACGCAAGAGCGCGCTTTTGTTGAAAATCCGTGTTGCGAAACCTTGGGTTTTTGTATGTTTTTTGGACACACGATTTTGAAATCCTTCCGAAACCGACGGTTTTGAAGGTTTTCGGCGTACGCGCGCGACGACGCGCGCGTCTGCACTTCGTCCCGTTTTTTGCAGAGGATTCTCGCGACGGCACACGCGCAAGGGCGTTCGACAGATTTCGACATGCGCGCGCGCGAAGCCCGTTAAATAGCATTTTGTGGAAATCTTGAAAAACCATGGTTTTCTTAAGATTTCGCAAGAACTCGCGCGGACGCTTTTTCAGCAAATCAGTGTTGCGAAACCCTGTGTTTTTGTATGTTTTTTTTTGAATCTCTATTGCGAAATCCTTCCGGCACCGAAGGTTCTTGAAGGATTTCGACATGCGCGCGCGACGACGCGCGCGTGTGCACTTCTTCCCGTTTTTTGCAAGGGATTCGCGAACAAGTGCTATGTTAGAACAAATATGTCACCGCATCGTGTTTTATGGGAACCTCAGGGGGGGATACCGGCCGGCCTGGGATAGTGCGAATTCGTATTTAAGATGGACATGTGGTCAGAATCGTATATGATTCACATACGCGAAAAAAGGGGTACCGATAACGCCGGGGGGGGGGGGTAGATCCTATTCTGTTTTTAGAAAGGAGAATTCACCAGCGCTCAACTTGAAGTTGTCCACTTTACTGCTCGAACAAACATCCCTCCCACCCACCCGTAGCTTGGTTTGCAAAGCCCCATGCGGAAGCGATTGCGATGATTGCTTGTTGGCTGGTGCATCTCTGCGGCCGCGCTAGCCCGCGCATGCGCGCGCGCAGCGGCCAGCTAGTTTGGTGCGACCGACGCGAACGCGGTGGCGCTGACCGCTCGGCACATCACAGCGGGCTCTTCAGTGCGAGTCGGCAACTTGGGCGGGCGCAGTATCATGGCAACGTCGACACTTGTAGACACGATGATGATAGTAGCGATGCTGGTGACGATGCTGACAACGACGACGGGGCAGTCAGTGACAGCGCCGATGCTGATCACTCCGGCGGCGATGACGGCGTCTTCGCGTCGGTGGTGCAGGTGTTGGAAAGAGTTCGACATGCGCGCGCGGCCGACGCGCGAAAGTGGCCCGCATGGTATTGTTTGACACGGGCAGTGCCACCCCAGCACGCGCGCAAGGGCGTTCGATCGATTTCGACATGCGCGCTCGCGAAGCCCGTTCGGTAGCATTTTAGGACAAATTTTGAAACACTGATGGTTCCCTTAAGAATTTGCAAGAGCGCGCACGCTTTTGTTGAACATCCGTGTTGCGAAGCCCTCTTCTTTGAAAATTAAAAGAAAATAGCAACAACAGAAAAACACGCATAACATATTTAACAATGTTTTTTGGGCACTCGATTTTGAAGGATTTCGTCATGCGCGCGCGCGAGGACGCGCGCACGTGCACTTCGTTTCGTTTTTCGCAAAAGGATTTTGACAACTTATGGTTTGTGATGAGCGAGTGTGCGCGCATATTGTTTTTACAGGGGATGTCGATACCGGCCCGCCTGGGATGGTATGAGTTCATTCGGGAAATGAACGAAGGGTCACGACCATCTATAAATTTCCAATCGAAAGCATGGGGGAAAACCCCGGGGGGGTGATGGGGGTAATGTCTAATTTCTTTTCAAAGAGGAAATTTCCCTTGCCGTGCAGTCTAGGGCGGCGACGAGGCGGCGAGGGGACGGCGACGGCGGCAACGTAGCCTCCGGACCGACCGTCAAGCCCAGACGACGGGCGGCGACGAGGCGGCGACGGGGCGGCGACGGCGGCCACATAACCGCCAGACTGTCCACCAGGCCCGAACACGACGGGTGGCGACGATGCGGCGACGGGGCGGCGACGACGGCCACATAGCTGCCAGACCAGCCGTCAGGCCCACAAGATGGGCGGCGACTAGGCGGCGACGGCGGCCACATAGCCGCCAGACTGGCCGTCAGGCCCAGATCTTTCGAACAGAACTGAGAACCTCTAAGTGCAAACGGTGCTTGGGGAACATATTTATACGTTCATTGTTCGGGTGATAATGAGGTTTGCGGGGCGGGGAGGAACCAACGTCTCACTCAATTGATCTCACTATCGATCTCACTATCGATAACACCATCGATCGCACTATCGATCTGACGATCGATCTCACAATCGATCTAACGATCGCTCTCACTATCGATTCACAACCGATCTCACTATTCTTACTATCGGTTTAACAGTCGACCTCACTATCGATCTTATTGTTGATCTCACTACTGGGCTCACCATCGGTCTCACGATCGATATCACCATCGATCATAGTATCGATCTCGTTTTTGATTTCAATATCAGTCTCACTATTGATCTCACTACCGATCTCACTACATATCCCACTATCGATCTCACTATCGATCGGATGCCGCGGGACACCACGGGACACGATCGGGACACCACCTCGGGACACCACGGGACACCGCGGGACACCATTACGGGACACCATCACGGGACACCATCGCGGGACACCACGGGGCACCGTGGGACACCGCGGGACACCGCGGGACACCACGGGACACCATCGGGACACCACAAAGACATCATCGGGACACCAATCGAGACACCGCGGGACACAGCTGGACACCACGGGGCACCAGTAGGACACCACGGCGGGGCACCCCTCGGCCACCGCCCGCCACGCGGCCGGGGTGGGGAGGACTTCTGTCCTCGCCGCGCCCTAGCCAGAGGAGGCTTCATTCCTGTCGCCCGCCCACGTAGCTTCGCCTCGCCCGCTCGCACGACACGAACCCGAAACCATAACCGATTTTCCGGTGGGGTGCTCGCCATTCCACTTCAACCTCACCCCCAAATCTCATGTTTACATATATATTATATATACACATAGGTATACACACATACATACATACATACATACATACATACATACATACATACATACATACATACAAACCAAACAAACAAACAAACAAACAATCATATATACATACACACATACTTGCATGCACGCATACACACATATAGTTGTATATATACATATACATATACACATTAGAACCACGCGCGCGCTTCGCGCGCGCTTAGATTCTAGTCACGGCTGCGCCACGTTTTGCTGCTCTCATTTTCGCTCGTGTGATCATCGGCGACGGCGACAGGGGCGGCGACGAGTGACGACGAAGACGACGACGACGATGACGACGACGACGACGATCACGACGACGACGACGACGACCGCCACCACCACGACGACGACGACGTCGACGATCCTGGAGTGGCCCCGAGGTCCGGACAATTTCCATAGGCCTAGAGTTTCGTCCTAAATGTTTGACGGTCCCAGGGCCCGTTGGGGGCGTCAAGATGCCGAGAGTTGTCCGGAAGCTTCGGGATCGGCCAGAGTACCTCAGGGCGTCCAGGGAGAGGGCTCTCGGGAGCCTCTTGGGGCCTCCTGGCGGCCCCGTGGGGCCCGCTTGGGTTCTTGTTTCGGGGGCTCTTGAAGGTTTCTTGGGGTCTCCAGGGTGCTTTTTGGGGAGGATGGCTCGAAATGTCGGGTGGGGTACGCCCCGGTGCTGTGTGGGGAAGCTGTCCTGGGGCCCTCTGGGACCGTCTTGGGGGCCCCCTGGACAGTCGAGGGCCCCTCTTGAGCCGTCTTGGAGGCATCTTGGAACTCTCTTTGGCCGTCTTGGGGCGATCTGGTCGGCTCCTGGGGCCGTCTTCGACGCGGTCGACGCCGAAACGGCGAATATCGTAAACATGCACGTTTTCTGGAGGGAATGGGGCTTCTGGAGGCGCTCTTGGGAGCCTTCTTGGAGGACTCTTGGGCCGGGACCCCGCGGGCCACGTCCCCTGGGGTTCTGGTGGCTCTGGGTGGCCGAAAGACTGGAAAAACAAAAAGAGAGTAAGGCCCCGGGCTTCCCATGCCCTGCCAGGTCCCTGGGCGGGACCCCCCCGGCCACGTCCCCCGGGGCTTTGGTGGGTCCGGGTGGCTTTAAAAACATAGAGAAAGTGAGGCCCCGGGCCCCCCGAGCCCTGGCCCTGGGTCCGCCATGCCCTTGCGAGGTCTCTGTGCGGGACCCCCCCCCCTGGGGCTCTGGTGGGTTCGGATGGCGGAAACCCGGTAAAAACACAAAGAAAGTAAGGCCCCAGGCCCGCCGTGCCCTGGCCCCGGGCCCGCCATGCCCTGGTGAATTCCGGGACCCCCCCGGCCACGTCCCCCGATATATATATATATATATATATATGCATACATGTATGTATGTATGTATGTATGTATGTATGTATGTATGTATGTATGTATGTATGTATGCATGTATGCATGTATGCATGTATGCATGTATGCATGTATGCATGTATGCATGTATGCATGTATGCATGTATGCATGTATGCATGTATGCATGTATGTATGTATGTATGTATGTATGTATGTATGTATGTATGTATGCATGTCTATATATATGTATGTATGTATATATATATATATATATATATATATATGTATGTGTGTGTGAGCGTGTTCTACCACTGCTGGCGGAAAACCGTGGGGGGTCACTGGGGGTTCCCAATCCGTCCTCCCCCCCCAAAAAAACGGGGGGGTCACTACCGGTTCGCCCCCCCCCACCCCCAGTCCATCATGAAAAGGGGGGGGTCACTACCTGTTCGAACCCCCCCCCACCCCCCCTCGAAAACCGGGGGGGGGGGTCACCACCGGTTCGAACCCTCCCCCGCCGCCCGCCGGCAAACGATTCCCGCACCTCGGGACAGATAGACAGTGGTGGGGATACTGGGACAGTGGTGGGGACGGTGGTGATGGGGACAGTGGTGGGGGGACAGTGGGAGGGTGGTGCGGACAGTGGTGGAGACGGTGGTGCTGGGGACAGTGGTGAGGGGACAGCGGGACAGTGGTGGGGACAGCGGGACAGTGGTGGGACGGTAACGGTGGGGACAGTGGTGAAGGCGGTGGTGAGGACGGTGGTGGGACAGTAGCACAGTGGGGAGAGTGGTGGGGACAGTGGGGACAGTGGTGGGGACAGTGGCCACAGTGGGACAGCACAGTGGGACAGCGGAGGGGACATTGGGGACAGTGGGACAGTGGTGGAAACAGTGGGGACAGTGGGGACCGTGGGGAAAGTGGGGAGAGTGGGACCGTGGTGGGACAATGGTGGCGAGAGTGGGGACAGTGAGACACTGGTGGGGTCATTGGTGGGGACAGCAGAGACGGTGGTGGGAACAGTGGGGACAGTTGTGGTGGGGACAATGGTGCTGGGGACAGCAATGGGGGATGTTGTGCGGACGGTGGTCGGGACCCGGGAGTCGTTTGCCGGCGGTGAGTGTGGGGGGAGGGGGAGGGGGTGTTCGAACCGGTAGTGACCCCCCCCGGTTTTCTGGAGGGTGGCCCCAGGGGGGCTCGAACCGGTAGTGACCCCCTCCGCTTTTCTGGAGCGGGGGGGGTTCGAACTGGTAGTGACCCCCCCTGGTTTTCTCGAGGGGGGTGGGTGGGTTCGAACCGGTAGTGACCCCCCTGGTTTTCCGGAGGGGGGGAGGGGGTTAGAGGGGGGGGGTCCAGAGGGAAGGGGGGGGGGGGGTGTTCCAGCAGGGGGGGATTTTGAAGGGGGGGCCCCTCGGGTTCTGGAGGAAGAGGGGGGGGGAATTTTCCACAGTAAAGCGGCGGTGGATAACGCTCTCTCATATATGTAGAGAAGATAACGAGAGAAAGAGAGAGAGAGAGAGAGACAGAGAAAGAGAAAGAGAGATAGCAATCGCGATAGAGAGAGAGAGAGAGAGACCGAGAAAGAGAGAGAGAGAGAGAGAGCAAGAGAGAGATAGAGAGAGAGACCGAGAAAGAGAGAGAGAGAGAGAGCAAGAGAGAGAGAGAGAGAGAGAGCGAGAGCGAGAGGGAGAAGAGGGCGCCCAGACCGTCCTCAGGGGCCGGAGATGAGCTTGCCATTCCGAACCTGCATGCATCCACGCGGGGCCTATGATGCAGTACTGGTCCCACAGGGTATGCCCCGCTCAAGAGCCAGAAAGCAACGGTCTCTCTCTCTCTGTCTCTGCTCGTCCAGCTTCTCTTCCATCGCTGCTGTCCTAACCTCGGCGCGTCTCCCCCTGCGCTCGCTGCCCGTGCTCCTCCTCCTCCTCCTCCTCCTCCTTTTCCTCCGCCTCCTCCTCCCCTCCTCCTCCTGCCTCCTCCTCCTATCCTCCTCCTCCTCCTCCCTCCCCTCCTCCTCCCTCCTCCTCCCTCCTCCTCCTCCTCCTCCTCCCCTCCTCCTCCTCCTCCTCTTCCTCCTCCTCCTCCTCCTCCTCCTCCCTCCTCCTCCTCCTGCTCCCTCCTCCTCCTCCCTCCCTCCTCCTCCTCCTCCTCCTCCTCCTCCTCCCCCTCCCCCTCCCGCTCCTCCTCCTCCTCCTCCTCCTCCTCCTCCTCCTCCTCCTCCTCCTGCTCCTCCTCCTCCTCCTCCCACTCCTCCCCCCGTTCAACCTCCTCCTCCTCCTGCTCCTGCTCCTGCTGCTCCTCCTGCTGCTCCTCCTCCTCCTCCTCCTCCTCCTCCCTCCTGCTCCTGCTCCTGCTCTGCTCCTGCCTGCTCCTGCTCCTGCTCCTCCTCCTCCTCCTCCTCCTCCTCCTCCTCCTCCTCCTTCCTCCTCCTCCTCCTCCTCTCCTCCTCCCCCCCCTCCTCCTCCTTGCCACCCCTCCTCCTCCTCCTCCTCCTCCTCCTCCTCCTCCGCCTCTCCTCCTCTCTCCTCCTCCTCCTCCTCCTCCTCCTCCCCCTCCTCCTCCCGCTCCTCCTCCTCCTAACTCTTCCTCCTCCTCCTCCTCCTCCTCCCCTCCTCCTCTCCTCCTCCTCCTCCTCCTCCTCCCCCCCTCTTCCTCCTTGCCCTCCTCCTCCTCCTCCTGCTCCTCCTCTTCCTCCCCCTCCCCCTTTTTTTTGTTTTTGTTTTTTGCTTTTTTTGTTTTTAGATGTTTGTGATTGTCCTCAAGGCTTGAGCGCTCGAGCCCACTGCGCTGGCCGCTCGGGCACGGCCACGGCTCCGGGCCCCACGGCCTTGGAGTACGTCCTGGGGGGGCTGCCCGGCGCTGACGAGTTCTTGGGGGGCGCCCCCTCCCCCCCCCCCCCCCCCCCAACAGGACCCCCAAACGCACGAAGACCTCGACCCTCGACCATCGATCCTAACCTCTCATCCTCCCTCTGCTCCTCCTCCTCCTCCTCCTCGTCCCCCTCCTCGTCCTCCGCTCGGCCGCTCGTCCGTGTAACAGCGATGGGGAAAGCGCGTCGTGGCACGGCAGGCAACGCTCAAGAGGGCCCCGCGATGGCTCTCAGGAGCCTCGGCGACGGCCTAGGACGGCCTTCACGGCAGCCCCCGGGCGGCCCAAGAGTGCCCCGCGAGAGCCCCAAAGGAGGAGGAGGAGGGGGCAGACGAAGGGGAGGGGGAAGGCGGAGAAGAACGGGGGAGGTGGAAGGCCAGGGAGAGGAGAAGGAGCGGACGTCTCGCCCGTGCGGGCTCAGAAAGCAGCACAGGTGGGACAAACTTTCGGGTCAGCGTCGACCTCAAATGTGCCTTGGAATGAAATTCCTGATCATTTTTCGGTACTCGCCTCTTGCCTCGCGCTTCAGACAGGCCAGCCACTTCGTCCCATGGCCGCTTTGACTATTACATTTGCAAACCAGTCTGAACACGGGATGTGAAGGCGACCGTGCACATCTTCCCGAGCTTTTCGGTTACGCTAGAACAATCGATGCTACTTGCTTTGAGAGCTCGGAAGTGAAGGGAGCTGGCTCGACCAGCGCCGCCTGCAGTTATTGCCGCATTCAGCCTACTTCGGGCTGCTCGTTTGGACACTTGGAGGAATACTTGCAGCACAACAAATCTTGATTTTGCGTCTGGGGTGGAGGCGGGGGTGAGAGAAAGGAAGGACAAACCAGCACGCCTGATTGGCATAGGTCGTCCAGCAGCTTGACCGATTGTCTCAACAGGAACACACAGCAAACATGACTACCCTCGATGTAGCACCTGGAGGGTCTCTCCAATGCCAAGACTACGACAAAATGATGCACTGGCCCTTCGGCCGACGCTCGCCTGCAAACAGACGTCGTGCCCATGCAAACAGAAGCCGTGCCCAGCCACCTAATTACTTACCTGAGCCGTTGATTCAGATCGTTCGCTAGTATCGCAAATGCCGAGCCAGGGGCGAAATCCTCGTCCCAGCGATTGTGCCAATGGTAAGTGAAGGAGGCCATTCCCGACTGGAGCATAGAGGCATGCTGAGCGCTCTGCGCGGTCTCCTCGAAGAGCTCTTCAACGGGTGGCGCCAACAAAGCTGGGTCGAGCCCTTCCGAAGCGCTCGCAGGCTCGAAGAAACAGCCAGGCACCGGATGGAAGCTATTCTCTGTCATGTTCATGAACAAGAAGGGACCGAATTCGAAGTAGCTGCCGAACGTCTGCTGCTTCTCCGCCACGCGGGCAAGGAGCTCCTGCGTGAGGCATGAACCTTCCCTCTCGACTCCGATCACCGCGTTGTTGACGAACTGGCCGTGCAGCCAGGGCGCTGGAGTGACGCCCATTTTCTGCCAGAAATTGCTCTGATCGTTCCAGTCGGTCGTGTACCCGAACGCGAGGCCGACCAGGGGCGACAACTCTCGCAGCACCACGGTGTCCGCGTCCAGCCAGATACCCCCGTATGCGTCGAGCATCATGTATCTGGCCACGTCCAGGGCCCGCGGGAGGCGGCTTGCCTGTTGGACGTTGAGGACCCAGCCAACGTCGATGCGCTCAGCCGAGCCTGGCTTGACTATGTCTATGGCTTCGAACGCCCTGATGGGCTGCACACATGAGTGACTCTGGGCAAGAGTGCCCTCTGCTGCGCGGCTTTGAGTGGGCATGGGGGGGGGACAAGCCCAAGCGTGCAAGCCGCTGCTGTCGCAGCGTATTCAACGGCTCCAACCAAGCCCGCATCAAAGGTCACTCTGGCGAAAGGCTACTCTTACGCGCAGCCAGCCTGAACACTACTTGCTGCTCGCCGCTGACGCCGGCCAGCCTCAGTGCGTCTCTCATGGGGCCGACCTCCCCAGAGGTGCGCACCCAGAACCTGAGCTCCGCGTCCTCGCGTTGAGTCGCGAGGAAGGACATGACCATGACCCGGACCTTCTCCACCATCTTCGCGAACACCGCCTTGTCGGTGTCGGGCGCGGGCCACAGAGCGGTGTGGGCGAGGACTCTGCGGCCGGTGGGCGACGGCATGGCGTTGATGTCCGCCGCCGCGCTTGCCTGCGGCTGGTGCGTGCCTGGCCTGTGCCTCTGTCGGCAGTCCTGCTGCTCCTTGTGAAGCGGCAGTGCGCTCCCCCCCCCCAACTCGGGGCATCGAGCCCAGCACGCCTTCACCTGTTGGACCAAGTCCCCGATCTCCTTTTTGCAGCTCACGTGCCACAATGCGTCAAACATCGAAAGCCCGTGTGAAATGTTCCGTGGAACCTTCCCTCCCAAGCTCCCCTCCCCGCCGCCCCCCCCAGCCGCCCACTCCGCCTCCCCCAGCCGCTTGCCCGAGCGCGGCGGCGTTTCTCGCGGCAGCGCAACTGGATATCCGTAGCACTGGTCAGCGGCCTGGCTGAGGCCCTCGCGGAAGCTGTAGTCGTCGGTGCTCATGGCATCCGCCACAACGCATGGCGTCGCACCCATCGGCCCGTTCCCGAGAGTCGCAACCACCGGCCCATCCTTGAGAGGCCCCTGTGGCTTCGCCCGGACGAAATGATGCCACAGCAGGCCCGAGACCACGGCCACTGCGGCCAAGCCCACGGCGCACCCCACGGCGGCCAAGGTACACATGCATATTGTCCCCAGGACCGAGCGCGGGGGCTCCTCGGAGACTTCCGGGGACCTCCCGAAGCCGAACGCGCCGTGCGGCTGGAACGACGGCTGCATGCCCTGCGGCATCGCCTGCCCCGCGGCGAAGGACGCGGACCGCCCAAGGCCGCCCAGCGACGACATCGCCGCCTGTCCAGAGTGGAACGAGCTGGCCCGCGCGGACAGCGGCACCTGCTGGAGGGGACCGCCGTGCTGGAAGGACTGCACGCGCGGGAGCGGCCGCGGCGTGCCCACGCTGCCGTGCCGCGGCGTGGGCATCATCTCCCCGTGAGCGAACCCGCCCGCGCCTGGCCACCCGCCTCCCCCGCCCCACCGTGCATCTTCCTCGCAGATGGGCGCATAGCAGAGCGGCTGCGGCGCACAATAGCCGTACATGCTTGAACCTACATGTGCTCCGGGTGGGGGCTCCTTGGCTTGCTGCGTCGTCGGCGACCGGGCGCGAAGAGCGTGCCTTGGCCGCCCCCCGGCCCGCCGTGGGCTCGGGCACCGGCGAAGGGCGGCTGCTGGGAGGGCTCACCTTCTGCCCGCAGCGTGGGCTGCAGTCGAGAAGGCGGGCCTGACTCCGGAGAAGGAGCAGTCCCAGACTTAGGTCGGGCGTGTCCTCCCACAGGCGGATTTTGGAGGACAAATTTGAGTCCCTCCGTCAAAAATGATAGAACAATCACCCCCAGACTATTTATGGATCATTCTTGAATTTTCCTCCTGTGGAGGGACATGCCCGACTTAACGCAATTGCCTAACACCTCCGACGTCGATACCTCTTCACCACGTGCAACCCCCAGATGTCTGCACGCCTTCCCTCGGGTCGGCTTCTCATCCCGAGCAATTCTTGGACGGTCCCGAGGCCCGGTGAGAGCCCCCCGCGGGCCGGACATATCTTTGCGTCGGCGGCTCGGCAGGATACTGGCTGCGCGCACACAGGGGGGAAGGGGGAGGGGGGAAGGCTTCTTAGAAGCAGGCTGCTTCTTAGAAGGGCCCCGAACAAACTTACACTGTATGGATAAGGGCCCACGCCTTCTGAAGGAAGCAGGGTCCGACTTCTAAGAAGCCTTCCCCCCTCCCCCTACCCCCCTCTGCGCGTGGCCGAGGGGACGTCTGCGCTGGCGATGGATCGTGCCTGAACGGGGATGCCGTTAGAGCGAATTGTGCCACCATGCAAGAGGAGGAGCGGGGGGAGGGCGCGGCCGAAAGAGTGGCGGACGGAGCGAGTGGCGGACGGAGCGAGCGGCTCAGGGGGGACAGGTCGCTCCCCGAGCGGCGGCGCGGCCACAGCAAGCCGAAAGCAACCAATTCCCCCACCCCAAACCGTGATTTCTCAAAGTCGAGAGGAGGTCTGGGCAGCGATCCCATCCCAACCCGTTTTTTTTTGTTCGCGCTGGATGATTTCTGGAGGGCCCCAGGGGGCCGAGAAACGCCCACCAGACGCCGAACATGGGAAGAGCGTGCGTCCGACGCTGATCGCTATGCCCAGAGGGGCCTGGGATCGGGGGAGGAACGTCCTGGAAACGTCTCTCTCTCTCTCGCTCTCGCTCTCTCTCTCTCTCTCCCTCTCTCTCCCCCTCTCTCTCTCTCTCTCCCCTCTCTCTCTCTCTCTCCCTGCGGCAAATTCGTATCGTGTTCAACCCCGAACGATCGTGGCTTCATGATGGCGCAGATCGTCCGATATCGGCCGGTTCCGTGACACTGGCGGCGTTTAACCTTGAACGCCTGCGCTAGGATTGCCGCCGAGTCGATACGAGACGAGCTCACTGTACAACATCCGCCACCGTGCCTTCAGCACATAGTGGTGTGCCCTGAGGCTCCTGCATGCAGGTCGTAAGTGGCTCTCGGTCTGTAGGATTTGAAAACCCAGATATGCGACGTCCTGACTTTCTCAGGACGGCGCCCCTGAAAGTCCCGACCCTTTTCCTGGGAACGGTTTTCGGTCCTGAGCCGTCTTTTGACGGTCCCGAGGCCCGGCGAGGGTCCCCCGGGGCCGAACATCGCCCAAAGCCTCCCGTCCTGACTTTTTGGCGACGCGATCATGTCTGGGAAGGCCTGGTCCATCCTCTCTGCCCAGTTCTGCTGGGTTTCCTGTCGTGCGCCGGCGCATGCCGGGCGAGCTTTTTCTCAAGCCATCTGGCCCCGACGCGGGCCAAGAAAGCTCCAAGAAACCTCATCCGGGGATGGACAGAACCCCTTCAAGTAAAACGTGGTTTAGTGAAAACGACTTCGGGCCCAAACCTGGCGGGCGCAAGCCTGGAACATGACGGCCGCGGCGCCCTCTCGAGAACCGAAAACGAACATTTCACTCATCGACGTGTCAAAGTGGGGGTTCGGTCCACTCACGTCTCATCCAAGAGAGCCCGGAGACGGCCCAAGAGCGCTTCAAAACGCCCAAGGTGGCCTCAAGACGGCCCAGGAGGCAGGCGGCCCCAGCATCGGCCGACAAATCGAAGCGGATCGACGCGAAGGCCGACTCGGCAGGCATCGGCTGAAAAAATCGGCTGCGCCATCGAATCGGCAAAAGTCGGCAGGGATCGAGGCGGAAACCGGATTGCGTGAAGCTGGATCGGAATCGAAATCGGAAGGCGGGGGGGACAAAGATGGTGGAGGAGGTGATCGGACCGACTTCCGTCGTCGCATGTCGTCGTAGGCGTCGTCGAGCGCACGTCGACACGTCGTCGTTCGCGTCGCCTTGCACTTCGCGGCGCGCGCCGTCGCACGCGTCGTTGGACGTCGACGACGACGTCGGACGTCGTCGTCTAGGAGAGGCTTCCGAGGAGCCTCTCGAGGCCACGAGATGCCCCGAGGGGGGGGGACCAAAGGACGCATGGAAAAAAGAGAAGAGGCGCCGTGACATCCGGGGAAATACCATGGCCCCCGCCATTCTATCCGGGCCCCCTAGTCATCAACCCCCTCTTGGCCGCCCCCGACCCAGCCCCAGACATGCGACGTCCTGATTTTTTCAGGACGGCGTCCCTGAAAGTCCCGACCCTTGCCCGGGACGGGTCTTCCTTCCCTGGGACGGGTTTCTCGTCCCGAACCGTTTCTTGGCGGTCCCGAGGCCCGGCCAGGGCCCCCCGTGGGCCGACAATAATCAAAACACACCTTCAGCCCTGATTTTTTAACGACGCGACCATGTCTGGGCCCGGGGCTCCTCGGAGGCCTCCCGAGGCTTCTCCGGGGGGTTCGAATCCCTGCGGAGGCCCTCGGGCCCCACAGGGCCTCAAGGCCGCTGCCATCGTCGTCGTCATCGTCATCGTCATCGTCATCGCCATCGTCATCATCATCGTCGTCGTCGTCGTCGTCGTTCGTTTCGTCCGAGGCCACCAATACGCCTCTTCTTCCCTAAGGGGCTTGAGGCGTGTCAAGTTCTGCGCGTGCGAAACTTATCTCAGCTGCATCTTGCGGCGGTCTTCACCGCTCCTGCAGCCAAGGGTCTGACATGCCCTCTCTGTTCGCCTGCCGGCACAAGGTCCTGTCCTCTCCAAGAGGCCCACAACAATTT